CCAAAGCACTCCTTCTTGACCCTAATAGGACAGGACCCCCAGGCTGCTGTCCCCAGCAGAAGCGAAACATGTGCAACGAAAGGGCATTTGGAGGTCCAGAGCAGCTGCCTCGCCTTGCCTTTGATGTGCAGCATCTTCATGCCCCTGGATGTGATAACATAGTGATAAGGAGGCCTGAACGTGGGTATGTCAAAAATAAATCCTGCCAAATTAACCTTATGTCTTTAGTTTTTTGTGGGTTTTTCGGGCTGTGTGGCCATGTTCTAGAAGAGTTTCTTTCTAACGTTTCTGTGGCTGGCATCTTCAGAGAATGCTGGAATGGAAGAGAGTGGGTCTTGTTTTGACTGGGTTGCTAATGTAGTAGATGGTGGGAACGCTGCGAATATCATTTATCTGGGTTTCAGCAAAGCATTTGGTAAGTTCCCCCGTGGTATTTTGATTTTAGCAAACGGACTCAGTATGGAATGGATGCAAACACCATCAGATGAATTCATACTTGGCTGGGAAACCATGCTCCAAGAGTTGTCATAAGTATCGGTGCTTTAAATTGGAAGGAGGCCTCAAGTGGAGTAGTGCAAGATCCTGTCCTGGGGTCGACATTTTTATCAATGATTTAGACAATGGAGCAGAGGGACTCTTTTCAGAATTGTGGATGGTAAACTGGGAGGGATGGCTAACTCATTGGAAGATGGGGACAGAATTCAAAAGGACTTTGATTAATTAGAAAGCTGGGCTGAAAATAATACAACGAAATTCAACAGAGACAAATGCAAAAGTCTACATTTAAGCCACAAACGCCAAATGCACAGGTACAGGATGGGGGATACTTGGCTCAGCAGTTGTTGTTGTTGTATACCTTCAAGTTGTTTCCAATGTATGGTGACTCTAAGGCAAACCTATTTTGTTTCCCCCCCTTGGCAAGATTTGTTTAGAGGAGGTTTGTCATTGCCTTCCCTTGAAGCTGAGAGCATGCAACTTGCCCAAGGTCACCAGTGGGTTTCATGGCCAAGCTGGGAATCAAAACCTGGTCTCCAGAGTCATTGTCAAACACTCAAACCACTACGCCATGCTGCTCTCTGCTCAGCAGTACTACATGTAGTGGAGGTCCATCAAGGAAGGACCTTGGGAGTATTGTTGATCATAAGTTGAACATGAACCAGCAGTGTGATGCTGCAGCAAACAAGGCGAATGCTATTTTAGTCTGCATTAATAGAAGCGTTGTTTCCAAGCTGAGAGAAGCAAAAGTCCCATTATATTCTGTACTGGTCAGGCCTCATCTGGAGCTCTGTGTTCAGTTCTGGGTACCTCATTTTGAGAAGCATAGAGACAAATCGGCATGGATTCAGAGAAGGGCAATGAAGATGATAAGAGGGATGGAGAACAAAACAAAACTGAAGTGAGATTGAAGGAGCTGGGCATGTTCATCCTGGTGAAGGGAAGACAGGATGACCCTCTTACAATCCCTCAAGGGCTGTTTCAGAGAGAAGGGCCAGGTCTCATGGTTTGAAGTTACAGGAAAGTAGATTTCAATGAAACACAAGAAGGAAATTCTTACTAAGAGTGGTTCAGCAATGGAACCAGTTGCTTAGAGATGGGTCTCCTTTTCTGGAGGTCTTTAAAAACAGGCTTCAAAGCGCTACCTTCTCTTTAGCAGAGAAGACCCTATACCAGGGACCGGCAACCTTTTTGAGACCTGGGCCGGTCTCCACT